ATCAAGGAATCGATCAGAAACGACATAAGATTTCAACTTGAAGAAGACCAGTATGCCAAACTCTGTTAAACTGCTTCAAATTATCTGAAGCAGCAGCCAAAGCTTCCCCATCGTTATGACTCTTTCAGTAATAACTGTTAACACATCGGTGAAGCGAAAGCTATATTTTTTGTCTAAAAGAATAAAAAACCTAGTGTCCTCTATCTGGAGGATGAATCTTTTTAAAATAAATAATTTTTTGCTCGCTTGGTCTGAAAATTGAGACACGTTTTGTGGAAAATGTTGCATATTTATTCAAATATAAATTATATCAGAACACACTCCAAGAGCCAATGTAAATGAAGCCTTGCTTTGATTTACGTGATGTCTCCCTCCTTAATCAGTTCCATATTTGTTAGTGAATTGCTTGTAATCTTTACGTCAGAGAGGTCATATATGATGTAAAATTTCATTACATAGATTGTTCTGATTGCCACTATTTTCGAGTTGGTTCTGAAATAGAGGAGTGAATTAACTGTAAATTGCCGACACAGTATATCTTCTACCTTAAAATAGAGTTAAATTTTAATGGTTTGGTTTGTTTGGATTTATGGCATATCAACGCCGATGGGTTATTTAATGCCAACAAGATTTTTATTGCTGGTAATATTTGTTTTTAATGTATAGCTGGTAATTTTTTTCAAAAATGTATTGCCGATAATAATGTATTGCTGGTAATAATTTTTCTTCAAAAATTTATTGTAAAATAATTTTTTACACTTTCATAGTTTGGGAGTTAATTATTTACCCAAAGCTGGGACCCGAACAGGGTGGACCTGGGAACACCAGCAATTAAGAGGTGGTTCCACGCTCTTCAAAACTTCCTGATCAGACGTAGTATATCCTCCTGTTGGACATAGTATATCGTCATGCCTAGGACGCGGATGTAGTTTATCGTCATATAGACAGTTAAATGTTTAAATTACGTATTACCATTTTTTATAGCCATAATTCATGAGTATATAATGGTCCACTCTCTACGGCTAAATATCTTATTTTGTTTATTCAGACTTAATTTTGATATGTATTGCCGTCCAGTTAGTATTATCAATATCTTATATAAATGTTCCACATCTTCCTGAATATATATATATATATATATATATATATATATATATATATATACAGTAGAATTTTACTCCATCTGTTCTTTCTCTCATTTTGTATATATATATATATATATATACGCACGCGCACACAGACATACGCACACACACACACATATATATAGTGTGTGTGTTTGTGTTTCTAAGTAGAATTTATTGGTTCTTATAACGTTTTAGATACAATTAAATATTCTTCATAAAGTAAGGGACATTATTTTGCATACGATATTATAACATTCGTATAGAATCTTATACGTATGGATTTCTAAAGATTGACAAAAGTGTTTCCGTTCAATATCAGCTGCTCTTCATCGATGATATAATCAATGTCGAATTATAGACATTTCTATCGTATTACTGTTTACTCTCGAATGTCATCAAATATCACTAGATATTTTTTATTTGGGGGATTGCTTTCTAAAACTGCAGCATTAGTGTTAGAAATCTGAATCCGATGCATAAATGAGAATTTCATATTTAGGCCCAAAATAACGAAAATGTTTAAAATTCTGAAATGGTTTATATCGTTATTTTTTGACTCCTCCGTGTATTCAGTCTAGAAAATAAAATGCCAAATTAATATGCAACTTAATTTTAACTGTCTATAAAATCTTATAGAAAAATGTTGTTCATATAAAGAAAAGAACAATATTAAACATTAGACATAATATGTCCAGATTAACTTGAATGAAGATATGTTCTCTCTCTCTCTCTCTCTCTCTCTCTCTATATATATATATATATATATATATATATATATATATATATATATGTATATTTGGGGGGGATATATGACAGAGTTTTCTTGTAATGCGTTTCGTACTTTAGGACTTAATCGGACTAAATTTGTTATGTTGGTGCGGCTACACATGCGCACGAACGAAAGATGTTGGGAATCGTAAATTATTATTATTGTTTTTAATCTAGCCGAAATGATTTAAATTCTTTTTCTTTGTGTAAATATTAATGATGCTTCCATCCAATCCAAATTTTATTTTTTGCTTGAATTAGTGTTTATGACTTTATTTTTTCATTTTTTCCTTCTGTTTATAATAGGAATGCATTTGATTACTCCACAAAACAAAAACAAAAACAAAAAAACCTAAAAAACAGTAAAGAAACTTTAGCCTCACTCGAAGTTGAAAGCTTATTTACCAACGCCTCAATCAGGGAAACAATAGATATAATCATAAACAATATATGCAATAATCCATCTCTCCCTCCGTTAACAATTCGACTTAATATATTAAAAAAACCAAAAAAACAAAACAAAATTACTCTTGATGTGCACCACAGAAGTTCTTTTTTCTAACTACAAAAATAACATATGCATACAATGCGATGGTGTCTCTATGGATTTATCAATTTTTACTTCATTAATTTAGAAAATAATGTACTTAATATCATAAAACCTCTACATTTACCTAAGAATTGTAGATGCCATTCTCATTTTAGTCAAAGGCTAAAATACACGAACTACAAGAAAACTTTCAACAAGAACTCTGTAATTAAATTCACATATGAACTTAACAAGGACAAAAAAATCTCGTTCTTCGATGTCTATAGAATCTATACATAAGTTTACTATTCCCTCTTGCTTTAAATATTACTGCCACATCTGGTTTGGTGCACCTGTTATATATTTAGAGATTGTATTATTAATACGATCAAAAGAAGAATCTGAAATGTTATTGGTTGTGGCCAGGCATTTAATCTTCTGTCACTTTCCCACCGCCGTAACGTAACTTCCCTCTGCCTATTCTATAATTACTTTCATGGTTATTGATCTAATGAAGTTTCCTCTTTGGTACCTAGACTTTATGAATTTAAGCGCAATACTAGATTGGCGTTAAGATCTCATCATTTTACAGTTGAAATAGCTCGATGTAGGAGTAAGTTCAATGCTCACAATTGCTTCTATCTCAGTTCCCACTTTCGGAACTCTCTTCCGGATTCTTGCTTCCCAGTCAAGTTTACATTTAAATTTTTGAAGATCAATGTCAATAGTTATCTTTCCTCTTCTTAATCCTTGTCCTTAATAGTAATTTTTTTCCTCATATTCTCTCAGTAACCTTTTATGATTAAAAAAAGAAACTCCTTATGAAAATTCTTTCAGAAGGGTCAATAGACATGCACAAATATTTAATAAATTACAGATATTTGAAAATTATTTGCAACACAGAATACTTTATTCAAATTTTTTCTATCCTCTGCCAGCCGCAATGATTGCTAAAGCGTTATCTCGCAGCATCGCGGGTTAGACACGCTGCAAGAGCCACTCTCCGCTTCGCGAGGCTCGTCCCTTAATCAAGATACAGTCCTGCCAATCCTCCGAAGGAACGCTATCGAACTGGAGTAAAAATAAATCTGTTCGCAAGAGAAGAATATTTAACTATTTTTTTTATTTCTGCGTCCCGTGTGACACATCCCGGCTCAGCGGTGGACCTGACCAAATTACCTGTCGAAATGTATCGGCACAGATCGCATCCTAAATCAACGACTTCTCCATTTTAAAAGGGAAAATGGTAATTGCATCTAGCCGCTTTCCATCATCACAGTCGAGGCCTATGGATTCGATTTGGGAAGGGAACCCAGCTGCATCCAGATCTCTTCTGATGATGTCGTTTATTGCTGCATGTCTAGAAAAGCGGCCGGGACTAAGACGACAGGAGAGAGGATGTAAACCAATCTCATCAATGGAAGCTCCGCATCTGCATCTGTGACGCTCACATAATTTGAGCCCGAGTGCACTCATAACCCAGGGTACCGGTAGATGAGGAGAGCACTGCGTTGAGCCAGGCGCCACTACTCGGTTGTCAGGCAGATGTTAGACAGGCGAGGCGGTGCTGATCCAGAGGAAGCTCCAAATTAGTAAAATTGGCCTAGCATTTCATTTGATCACAGCTTTTCTGTTTCCAAGCGTTTGGAATTCGAAGAGAGAAGACGTGTTTTGCAAAGCTCTGCTGATTTCAACGGATTTTTAATTTTTAACATTGAAAAAGTCGGATTAAATATTAAGTAACACAAATACAAATTTTAATATTAAATAAAATAATCATTATTGAATTAATTGTTGGAAATTGTAAACATTATTGTAAAAAAATATAATGAAAGACAATATTTTTCGAAGATTTGATTTCAAGAGAAAGGAAAAAAATGAAATTAATGTCAAGCAAAAATTAACAGAAAAAGTTTTTTTTACATTAATTTTAGGAAAAAAAGGGAAGAAATAATGTCTCTTCCTTCTTTGTTCCGATCGTTTTTATTGCTGGAATCTGAACGTTGCTTTTCTGATGTCGGAGTTGTTCTGATTCCAATATTGTAATCTCCAAGGAAGCGATGGTTGCCGCTCTGAAGTCTTTCTCGGGAAGCAGCAGTTGCGGTGTGGACGGCCTATGACCTGGACACATCAAGGACTTAATTTCTACCCACACTGCCGAAGCTGATGAACATTTCAAAAGATCCATAACAGCTCTTATTAATACTCTTCTCCGAGCTGAGATATCCCACCATGCTCGAGAGTTAAAATTTTCAGCCAACTTAACGGCTTAAAAAAAGACGGGGGTATCCGTCCTATCGCTGTTGGTAATATTTTTCGTTAACTCGAGGCAAAAATTGCTTGTAGAGTTGAACTGCGACTTGTCCACCTCTGGGTAGACATACAGAGTGGATATGAAGCCGCGATTCATGTCACAAGATCATTTTTCGAGAATACATCACCTGTTTCCCCTCATATTAAAACTAGATGTGAAAAACGCTTTCAATAGCATCAGAAGGGATCATACCTTGGAAATTTGCTATCAATGGACTCCTTCCTTATTTCAACTGACTCATTTTTCGTATAGTCATCCAAATATGTTGATCGCCTCCGATAATAATAACTTTTCTGCTACCAGAATCCCGCAAAGTGATCCACTTGGTCCGCTACTATTTGCGATAACTGTTGGCGGGGTAGCTTGTTCCATCGCCTCTCCTTTCAACATATGGTATCTTGAGGATGCAACGCTGGGAAGACCTGTCGAGGCTGTAGCTATCGACCTCCGACGAGTTATTCCCGTTTTTTCTCTGCTTGGATTTGAGATTAACTCGTCCAAGTCAAGGATAATAAATTTGAATTATAGTACAGGTGATTTCGAGGATGCTATCCGAGATATTAGACTCATCCTTGAGGATATAAAAATAACTCCTAAAGATGAATTATACATTCTTGGTTCTCCAGTCTTTCCAATAGCCATTCGAGAGTGTTCGGATACTAAGCATGTCATTCTAACAAGAATGACTGAGAGATTGCAATTAAATGATGCACAACCAGCCCTCTTCCTTTCGAAGAACAGTTTTTGTCTACCGAGGTTCCTCTACACTCTCCGAAGTGTCCCTTGCTTTCCTTGAACAGGATTTCTTAATCGTGATAGATATCGCAATTAAGTGATGCGCGGAGTTAATTTACAACGTTAATTTCGACGAAATTGTCAGCAGTCGCATAATATTAGGGTATTTGTGCATGGGTAAGTGCCCCTGATATACTCCCTGTAGGCAATTCCGAGGCCATATTATGACTTAGTTTTAGCTACCTTCTAGCCATTGCTTGAAAATATAATCTTATGACAAAGAAACTTGATCTTATGAAAAGTAGTCCGAGTAAACAAAAAATCAAGTACTCCCTCAACTTTTTCTCTTGCACTTCACGCTTGTGGAACTCTCTTCCGGCTTCTTGCTTTCCAGTCAACATTGATCTTCAAAAATTTAAATGCAGTGCTATCTTCTGTCCTCTTAATTCCTGTTCTTTTATTGTTTGCTCTCTTATTGAATGAGAAAAGAAAAAATGTTGAAATTCTAGGTGATAGCATGTGGAACTACTGTAATTTCTCCCGGTGGACGAAATAAAGGGTTCAGTTCAAAATTCAAATGACCTGAAGAAGGCCTGAGCGTACAATAGCCGAAACGTTGTGAATATGGCAACAAAGATGAGGACAACAGTTCGAAAAATGTAAATAGTGTAATTGAGAGGAGTTTAGTTTTGGAGGCGTTAAAATTAACAAGCCATAATTTAACGGAATCGGCTGCCATTTTGACTTTGTCGAACTGGCCAGCCTTACTATCGAGGCAGGAGTAAATGGTTGTGTCATGAGTAGAGATACCAAGATTGAGAGCTGATGTCATGGGAAAGGTCATTAATGAAAATTAAATACATGGTAGAACCAAGGATGGAGCCTTTTTGTTTCGTCTCTCTTTTTTTCTTTTCCTTCTGTTACGTTTATATTTGTTTTTTTCTTTTCTCACTATTTATTTCATTTCCTTTATTACTACTATTTGGATTTGTATCTTATCTAAAGTTATTTGGATATCTTTATCCAAATATATTTGGATATCTTTATTTTTATCTTTTCACGTTTAACGGGTCAGTTTTCTTAAATCTTCTTATCCAACCATCGCTCATAATTTTTTTCCATTCCAGACATGCTTTTCTTCTTCTTATCCACGATTCTTTATTTTAAGTTCACTTATTTAGGTAGCGGTACCTAAAGTTTAAAATGAATTTTTACAAATGAAAAAGCATTTTTAAAGCTTACTTTTTAGCTTTAATTGAAAGCTAAATGATTAAATTTACTATTTCCAGTAAGCATAATACTCTGGATATAGAAATTATATTGATTGACATTTCAGCTTTTTGGGTGCTTTCAGTAAAATAATTAAAATCGGCCATTTTTGACAGGTTTTGACACATTTGTAAACAAAAGTTAATTCGCGGATTTAAAAAATTTCCAAAAATAAAATATGCTTTACTGAAACATTATTTGAAGAATATTAGCTGATTTAAAGTATAATTAATCTAATTTGAAATAAATATTATTTACTTTAAGTTGGAAATAATAGAGAAAAGCGGTTATTTACGTGCTTTTCATCGCATGCCAATCACTCAACAAGAACTGATAAGCTGTTGACAGGTCTACGTAGACTTTATCTCTTAAAACATAATTTAAGGAAATGACGGATGAGCTCCTTTTTACATAATTTTTAAGTACTCATTAAAAAAAAAATGTTAGAAAATGTCCCCCGTAATTTAATTTTAGGGATGTTTACTTTAAATTTACTAGAGTCATCGTTCTTATTTTCCGATAGTGCCGTGGATGGTCGACCATACTTTCAAACATGGACACGTTAAATAATATTTTATATACTTAAAAAAATATTAAATATTATTTAAAAAATCTTGGAGCAAAATACTTTGTATTAAGCTTTTCAATTTTTGATTAGTAAATATAGTAAATATTCAGTAAATAACGATTGAACCTAATCAGATGAAAGTAATGCAGAATTTTAAAGATTTATATATTATAAATTATTGTAATTAAAATTATATATTATAAATTATTATAATTAAAATGAAAAAGATTCTTGTAAAAATTCATTATTAATCGAAAAATGTTTTTTCTTAGGCCAATAGTGTCCTTAATAAATTTTATTTATAAAAGCACTTAAAAGCTTTTCTAATTAAATAATGTAGTTTTATTGCATTTTTATTTTACGATTTAGTGTAGAAAAAAAATTGTTGACTGACATTCTCTTGGGAGTCTTGCATTTAAGTAATAGAAAAAATTTCTGATGAAAAATTAATTTCTTGAAATTTCATGAAATTAAGCAAGTGAGGGGAATGTAACATATGTAAAATAACAAAATATATTTTTACAATTCATTTGTGAATAAGTCCTGAAATTTCTATTAGAATCTGGCAATTATTTGATTATTTTCACGGAAAAAAAAGCAAAAAACACTAACTGTAAATATTACGTCGACCGCCGACGTAAAAAAAACAACAAAAAACAAAAAAACAAAAAACAAAAAAGCAAAAACCAAGAAATTTCGAACGTGCTAGAAAGGATTAAAAAATTATTAAAATAATAAAAATACTTAAGTATTTCCTCTTAATAAATATTTTAATGATAAAACTCTGTTTTTATTGTTTGGTGCCTTTTTTTCATCATGCTTTGTTACATAAATGCCGTTTATTTTGCATATGTATACATATATGCTGTGTTATTTGTATAAAATTGATTGAAATAGGCACATCAGCGCTGTTCTATACAGCATTTTGTGTAGCATAATTTGTACTTGATGTTAAAACAGTTCAGTTAATTTTAAACAATATGTTAAAGTTAAAAAGTATATCGGTGAAAACACTTAAATTGATAAAACGGTGATGATTTATAAAACATTGTAACGGACAGTATTTTTTAAGCTTAAATCATTCATTTGGTAGATGAAAACATCTATAGAATACTATATTAAATGATCATTTTATAATTTCTTGTACAAAATCTAAAAACCAAAACTGCTTTCAGATGTTTATAAACAACTTTATCTAATGTACCTTGCTAATGATAAAATGAATTTATCTCCTTACAAAGATTTTGAACCGCTTTTTGCATTTCTGCAAACTATATTTTAATAATCACAAAGGCGACATAATTAGTCTCAATATTTTGAAGTACATTCAAATGCGTATCTTAGGATTCTTATAAATTTGAAAGAAAAATATTGTAAATAAACAAAACACAAGCTAAATTATGTAAATAACTGTTATTGGTTGTTTTCTTTACACATTCAATTGTAAAGCCGACTTCATTCACACATCACTGATGGTCTTGGTTATTATTTTTACAACCGCACTTATATAGCTGGTAGTTAAACATATTAAACGATTGAAAAACATTTCATATTTATCTTTACTTATATTTTACACTTATATTTTACATTCTTACTTTCATTGAATCTTCGCTCATTGGTATGATCAGTATAATAAAATGCTTACCCACATGTTAAAAACCTGAACGGAATGTCCAATGGAACAGATTTAAATATCAGCTGCTTTTAGCGTTTTTGATTTTGTAGATCCCAAAACGGTTGTCTGACATCTCTAAATGCGATCAATTAGAACTGAAAGTTTCCATTCTTAAAAGTCGAATTTGAATTTGTTTCTCTACGGAAATAATTGACTGATTCTTTATACAAATATTTTCGATATCTTCTATAGTTGTATTATATGTCTTCTAAAGGTAAAAATATTTCTCCTTTTAATTAATCTTATTTCTGTTTTATAAAGTGTTCTTTCCTTTATCTGTTCGGTAAATCTTGAATTATGTTGTGAAATATTATAAAAATAGTAGGCCCCACTTATTCACATTGAATATGTTCCATAAACACCAGTGAATGCTTTAAACATTATATATACTATATTTTCTTTTACATATATACCTATAATAAAGTTTGATTTATAAATTAGGCATTGTGAGAGATTATCAACCATAATTGATAATAAGAGATTACAAGATGCTAAAATATTGTGGCGTATAGTAGATTCATTCTTAACAAATAGTTCATATCACACAATATTTTTTATTTTAAATTAAGTCGAGAACTTTCAACTTTTCACTTTTGAAGGTTATCCTTTAAAGCTTCTCTTTGCATATCCAAAATTTCAGATCATTAAATTTGTTCTTTTCGACCGTTATTAAATCAGACTTGAATATGACTTATTTTAAGGCTTGACTTTGGGTAACTGAAACCCAGAATACTGATAGTAAACTCTCTCAGTTAATGTCTTTATTATTAATACCCATTAATTACAATGAAATAACAATAGTAATTCTGAATAAATAAGAAATACACATTCAACTTCTGTTTAAAAATATAGATTTAAGTATTTTCGATGTTAAATGGATTTTGTAAGATCAAGCGTATATTTCAAATTGCTACTGCAAATATGTTTAGAATATTCCATGATGCGTCTTTATTGGAAATCGAACGGAGTCACAGACACGTTACACGTCTATAATAATAATAATAATAATAATAATAATAATAATAATAATAATAATAATAATAATCTCTTAATTTTTCAGAGAGCAGATTAATCCACTACATGCTTCCTTTAATTCGTTAAATGAATCAATAACTTTGTAATTACAATAAGACTGATTTAATATTCTGATTTAATTTGCGAGAACGCTTTTGCATTCTCTCTTGTTTAGGCATCTAACTTACAGCATCAAGAATTCTCAAGCTGTCAACTCATCAGGCAATGACATGGCTCCGGGCAGCATCTAAGAATCACTCCCTCTAATATTATACATATTGATTTCATTGACATTCGATGCACATCTGCAGTTAAGATACCCGGGAGCTTGTATTCTTGTATTCAAACACGGATAAGGCGTTGATTTGGAATTATATGGAAAACCCCTTTATTCAATTATTTGCACTATTTATATTCAGACCATTGTCCTCATCTTGTCTATCTTTATCACAACGTTTCGGTTGTTGTTCCCTCCAGCCTTCTTCAGGTGTATATTGATCTAGGTACCCTACAGGGAATTCCGAACTGAACCCTT